TAGCTCTGAAAATTCACAGCAAGAAATTTTTTGTATTCTCTTTTGTTCGCCAGTTCGTATTTACCTTTGTAAGTTTTGAAAAATGGCTTGAACGAACCAGTATAATACAGCCTAGGCAAATTTTTAAAGAAACTTTTCGATACTAAGTTTTATTAAAACAAAATGTCGAAGGCAGCTTCATATAGAAACAAAGTCTTCGTTAGTTATAAGAAGAGATTTTCGTAAATATAATACATTTACGGCACTCACATATTGACAAGATTTTACTATTTATTTTATTATTCTTTAATTTTAATTATCTGTTTATAAAATATAATGTATTCTTTAAGGAAAACTGTACAAACCAAAGATTAAATCTTTGCGAAACATCCAAAAACCAACATACTTTCGTAAAAATTTCGAGCTTTATTAATATTCTTTAGTTTTTAGCCCATTCAATTTTAGTATAATAAAGTTCAAGTTTAAAGTAGATGGGACTTACCGTTGAACTTGGCATTTTTTTTGTCGACGATGTCAGCCATTTTCTTCCATACGAAGTGTGTCCGACGATTTTTTTATATGGAGAAAACTAGCAACACCTTCATCGAAGAAATCTTAAAAAACTTAGTTATATTAAAATTTAATGGGCTAAAAAACCGCACGCTCAAAATAAATCTAGGAAATCGAATTAAAAAGCTCGAAATTTTTACGAAAGTGTGTTGGTTTTTTTTAATGTTCCACAAAGTTTGAACCTTGAATTTGTACAGCTTTTCTTAAAATATAAACCGTATTTTTACAAAAAATAATTAAAATTGAATACTATTAAGATAAATGGTCAAATCTTGTCGTAAAGTTTTGATAAGCACTTGAAATGCTATTAAAATGTCAAATTTTAGTACTGAATCCAAAGGAAAATGTCTCTTTTATCCATTAATAATAACTTAAATATGCTTTTTGTTAAGATGTATACCTGAAAATGTGTGCATACATATTTGCGTTAAATGCAGTACATGTGCACGTGGAATCAATTTGTAAAAGTGTAAACTACGTAAACGTATGTACATAAACAATAAAACTTTCTCATGAATACCATCAATTCATTGGTCTTGAAGGGAATGTACTAAGAAAATATATGAGCGAATTAAAAAGTGTATACAATTTATAGCCGAAAAGTACATTTTTTGTATAGATTTCGTACTGAAGGAACAATTTAATTTCCCAACACTGATACAGAATGTAAACAAACACAGGGTTGCAAGGAAAAAAAGTTGAACGAGCTCAAAGTTGGCTGGCAACCAACTTTGTTGAAAGCGATTAGTTGAAAGGCCGTTCGGACGAGGCGATTTTTGCTTTCAACTAAAAGTTGCCTGAAAAATCGCCTTGTGCGAAAGCCCTATTAGGTACTAAAATTTAGGTCAACTGACACACAGGCTTATAGTTAGGCTATCTGCACACTTGTCGTC